AATACAAAAGAAGCAGCAACAAAAGTGCAGGCTTTCCTCATTTCTTCAGTTTTTGGGAGCTACCAGGAAGTAATAGAACTTTCATCTTTGAACAGAATGACATCTCAGGATCTCCATTTAAAATTACTTCGCTGTAACCACTTTGTACAGGAGTGTGGCTCCACAATAGTTGCTGTAATTGCTGATAATGGTGCGGGTAATCGCAGGGTTTACACTGATCTGCTGAAACCAAGCCAAACATTTATTGAGAATCCAGATTTAGCTGGTACAAAATATTTTTACTGCATGATTCAGTGCACTTGCTAAAATGCATTTGAAGGAACTGGATTAACCAGAAGGACACAGACCAGACATTTACTTATCCTTTAATAACTGGACAAATGCTAAACGCCTGTGATACTGATAGAGCTGCAGAAGATAACTTTTCTCATTTAAAGAAACTGTATTATAGTGAGCAAAAGAAAGAATATTGCAAAACTGGCATTTAAACTTTCATGCAAAGCATTGACAAACAGAAGGTTCCTCTTGCTTTAGCAATTTTTAGTGAATACATTGTTGCGTCTAGATGGCAGTAATTAAACAACAGATTTTACTGTGGGCATCCTTAGTTGGTGACATATTGTAAAAAGTAAATTTGTAGATAAGAAGACATTGAACTCATTCTCAAATCCTATACGGTTAAATAATGATGAACAAGTACATTATCTCGAACAATTTGCTCAATGGCTAAGAAAGTATAATAACATGCATACAGTGACCGTCGTGCTTTCTCTAATCAAATATCTGATTGCAACCACAGACGCCAGTTTTATACCTCTTGGAAAGCTGCAGACTAACAAAGTAGAAACTCGGTTTGGCGAATATCGAAAGTTATTAGGAGCAAACTGTCGGCCTCTATGGCTTAGGCATTGCGAGCATGCTTCATAATGCCGGGGTGCCGGGCTCGATCCCAGTTACGGGCTTTGCGTTGGTTTCGACAGTGGTATCGAGAAGCCGACCGTCCAGGAAGCAATGACAAACTAATGGACGTAAAATGGCCTGGAAAAACCACACCAGCCAAAAGATGCTAGGGTTGGTTGTGCAACGTTCTGTATCTAGTATCTTTCAGCAGATTTTAGAAGCAGAAAAGAAACTAAAAGTTTACCCACTGCTAAGTAAGTCCTCATCAACTTATAGAGATTTCGGCTATCCTCCGAATAATGGGCACAAAAGATGGCGGCCGCAAAAACATCCTAACAGAGTCTCAGTCACGTGTCAATTGCGCACTTCCAACGACTCGCGAGCAGCAGCTTCCGCATCTCCTGCAGCTTTGCTCGTGATTCCTAGCCATCTAGTTTAGCCCCAATCCACGCCGCGTGAGCGGCGTGGGGGACTCTTGCGGTGGCGGTAGTCGCCGGAAAACCGCAAATTAAGTCGCCGGAAGTGCGCAATTGACACGTGACTGAGGCCCTGTTTTTGGCCGGCATTGGCCGCCATCTTTTGTGAACGTTATTCGGAGGATAGCCGAGATTTTCCTATCAGTGACCTCTCAGACTTTTTTAGTAACAATGAAGGTGAAAATGGGGATCATTTAATTACTAACGCTGTTCAGCTAGACGTGAACAATGTTGGTTTTTTTTTTTATATAAACCCAAATGACAGTGAATTGTTGGTTTCAGAAGGTTCAGAGGAGTCACTGGTGTATATTTGCTGGATTTGTCTCTAACAAGCTGAACAAAAACAGATGGACAGGCAGGTCATTAGCATATGATGTTGACTCAGCTTATATTAGCTGAACTGAAAACAACATTTCTAGCCTTCAAACATCACACAAATATTGCTTATGCAAATTGTTTCATGTAGTTTGCACTTATATTTCAATGATGGAATATGTGGTGTCAGTGGTAAGGTAAAGTAAACATTGCTTCCAAAGCACTGCTATCTCTCGCAAATGTCTTTTCAAAAAACCATGGAAAAGTCCAAAACGATATATCTTTGCTGGATAAATCATCCAAGAAAAGAAAACGGCTAAGTTAACTCACTAATTTACAGAGACATGTGATTACATTATGGGATATACTGCAGCTAAAATGTAAGTAGTTTCTGTTGTACTTTATGTTTCTATGATGTGATATTGTGTATACCTATATAGCTTAATCCTATAATTTTGTAGAGAGTCAGGGGACACCAGGAAAAAAAAAACTGGGACTGTCAGAGTGAAGACGGAACATATTGTTAACCCGGGGTGGTGACTCTACAATTTGGAGAAGGCGTTGGCTTATCGCCGCAACGTCCATTTGTCTTTTGTATGACGGCATGAGAAACGCGTGTGCGCGTACCGGAAGTTAGCCAGGTCAGCAGGAATGGTTGACATATTGGCTTATTTTACGCCAGATTTCACAAATCTGGCTTCTCTGAGTTCCACTTCGGGACTGTCATTTGCCACAGATTATTTGATTTGATTCAAGAACCGACATCACAGCAATCGGGGCATTCCCATAAGCGCTCCGTCCCCATCTTCAGCAGCCAGCGAAGAGTTCCGATACTAATGGTGCCAGTAGCTTTCTGATTAAACGTCCGTCTTGCCGTTCCTGTAAGCCTCGAGCTTCTGCCAGAACCTCTCGTGACCCCCAATTGCATCAAACTCACCAGACTGTGGTGATCCATCTGCTCCTCCGAATTGTACACGCTCTCCCACAAGGCACTAACCACGTCTGCCCTATCAGTATTCCACCAAGTTGTGCAGAGCCAGCCAGTCTGTCCGCCTGTTCATTTCCCAACACACCAGCGTGACCCGATGAAAAAATCCAGACAATACTTCTCACTCGTGTCCTCCGCAGCGAAGCATGCCACTTTTCACGAAGCATACCTGTTCTGATCTCCCTCAGCATGCTCTCTGAATCAGTTACAATCACGATGTGTGTGTGTGTGTGTCGTGTTCTCTAGCCAGCTGAAAGCTGCTGTGACTGGCTCCACCTCCATTCTTAAGCTGGATATTGTGGTATCATATGCTAGGCTCTCCTGCACCAAACGTCGACCATTAACTTTTGCTAAGACGCCCCAAGCACTTCTTTTGCCTCTTGACACTGAACCGTCTGTGTAAATTATCAAATCCTCTGAGCGAGCATTATCTTAAATTAATTGCTGAATTTCCACCTCTGTGGTACCTGCTGACCAGTCTCTGCATTCCCGGCTCAGCGTGATTATGACTCTACACAGGTCTGACTGCTCAGGTGGCACTTTGACCCACTCCTCTCCTCGCCTAATGTTCTCAAGGATGCAAACCTGTTTGATTGTGTCTTCTGCCTGAACCATCCATGACCTCCCTCTTATCAGCCGCTGACCCTTAACTGCACCCAGAGCTTCATGCAGAGGGTGGTCTGTGTCTGCAGCTACCCTGAGATATGACTTCGCCTGCAGCACTTTGTGCCTACCTGCAACCGTCGGCAAACTAAGGATGTATCGCATACACACCACTGAGGTGTCTCTGGTGCAACCCAGAATGACCCGTATAGCTACGTTCTGTATGCGCTCTAATTTGTCCATCTGACTCTTTGGGACGGTAAGCAGTCCCAGGCCATAATCCACCACTGACAGGATCAGGTGCTGATATAGTGTGAAAAGCATTCTCTGCTCTAGGTCAATTGCAGCCATAGTCTTAAGTGCACTAAGTCCTTTTTGGCATCTCGTCACAACACTCTCCACATGGTCCTTAAATGACAGGCTCCTGTCAAATGTAATTCCTAGATACTTTAGTTTGCCCACAGATCTGTATGCAGGACCTGTCCATAAATGATTCAGGGTACCAGCCTGGAATTCTCGAATGCCAGTTTCTCCATATGTGAAGTATTCCATTGCACGAGCCGCAATGTCATTTACGCCATCAACTGCAAGAGATGTGGAATTAAATACATCAGTGAAACTGGCTGACAGGTTCAGACAACAACTTTTGGACATGCAGAACCGTGCCCTGAAACCATTACCATTGCATTTCAATTCCCACGACAATCAAGGTGTCCACGACATGGAGGTGACAGCCATTAAATCTAGCTGGAAATCGTTTTATACACTTTTAGAACTCTAGCGCCCAGTGGACTAAACTGCCAACACAGCTTCATCTAGAATCCTAGGAACTGAACTGCCTGAAAAAAATGTTAAATAACTAGAATACATGCGGGATATAAAACCAAAATTCACTACTGATACCAAGTGATTCAGACTGTTCATAAACTACTATTTGGTGATAGAAAGTAGAGATGATATAGACATAGTTCTGTGATATATTTGATTACTTTTACAAATGGACACACCATCTAAAAAATGAAAAGCATTTTACGACAGCAATCGCAAGTATAATAGCAGTTGGGAGAAAACACACTCACGGCTCAAAAGATCTTCAGACGGATCAGAGGCAGCGCATTGTAAACTGTGTCAATGTACTCTTGCACCAAGAATTAGTAACACATCAAACCATGAAAAGTCAGAAAAACACAGGGTGAAAACTCCCTCAAAAAGCCAGTCACAACTTATTAGAACAATCACCGCAATGTAAATGTAATGTCAGCAGGTAGCAAATTGCTGTAAACATGACCTGCCATTGTGCAATACGCGCAACTAATCATCTATGTGAAATCATAATAGCGCTTCGTCGGAAGGGCACATTGGAACACAGACAGTTGCATAGAACTAAATGTTTATGCATAGTAAAAAAAAAACGTATTATATTGCCTGCACTTAAGGCTGAAAAGGTTTACGCTGAATCTTCCATGTGTTCTAGTGAGGGTGACAGCCAGGAATTCCATCTAGAGCTTTTGATGTGAAGTGAAACAATGTTACATTTTATCTGGCTTATTCTGGCTTAATTTTGGAAGTAGTTTGGCTTGAACAAATTTTTTTTTTTTTATCTGGCAACCCTGCCAGCAGGGGAAGTCACTAGGAGTAACTGAAGGAAGATAACATGGTGGTCGGAAGGTGAAGAAATTTATATCTGGTTTTGCATTTGTTTAGTTACCACTGGAACCATGGACTCGCGAAGTATTGACTTCGCAAAGACAGCTTCAATCGACCTGATGACGCTCAATAATAAGGTTTGTAGTTTTAGTGATTTACACACGCTGATTGTGTGAACGGTTAAAATTTAAAAAACTTTGATGATAATGATGAATAAATGATTTTTTTAAATGACTTTAATAACTATTATTACACATTAATCTGGTAATCTTAGTTTCAGCTTCAAAGTAAACAGGTCATCCCATAATTGCTCTGCTCCTGTGCCAAAGAAAAACACACAGAATGTTTATCACAGTGATCACAGTCCCTCGTGGAAAGATTGACAGACTGCTGCCTAGCCATATTCACTAGCATACACACACACATTAAAATAAAAGCCATCCGAAGTGCTAACACAAACAGTCCGACATTAGAAATGCGGTTCATCATGGATGGTAGCACTAGCAGAAGTCACCAAGAGATCAGCAGTTGCGCACGCGATAAATTTATTCACATAATGGCACCACCAATATTGTGACAACAGGCCATTTGCCATTTTCTGAATCTACAATTCACACCATCACATTGGTCACAGTCGAAAAACATTCCAAATGAAATCCGCAGCTCACAGTGTCACACCATGCACTCAACTCTCCAGGCTCCAGAGAACGAAACTATATCCTTTCAGTATACAAATGGAGCAAAAATGCAACAGCCACCGTCTGGCAGAAGCAAAAAATTTGCCACGGCTCAAAACAGTGGCCGTGCCTAGCGTCATTTTTACCGCAAGTCTATTAGCGTAATATATTTCTGATCCCTATAAATATTATAAGTTGCTGAGATATTTTTTCAAGGGAAATGAATATTATTAATTTATGAGTATACTCATAGTAGTAACTAACAAAGATTGTTCAAAAAAAGATCATTCTTCTTTTGGTGGCTTTTAAAAAATTATCTATATCTCTGCAGTGTTGTTATGTTGCATGAACTTTCCCCTCTTTTGTAATTCACTCAGCAACCCATAAAGTTTGACTTGCACCGATGTTTTTCTTGGCCAAAAGTGATGCCTTGATATCTTCTATTTGGGACAGTCTTGGAGGACATGATCTGTTGTCTTAGGTGCCAATCCACATATGCACGTGGCTGATTTTAAATTTTATGTAGATGTGGCTGCGAAGTCGATTGTGTCCTGTTCTAAGAAGGGTAGATGATAACTTGCTTTGATGTGTCCATAAAATAGTAATCGTCTTGTGCTGGTTTTTGTGGCTTTCTGATTGATTTGATTATTCTATTTTTTTTACTGATGAGAGACTGGTACATCAGGTTCTTCATTTGCACCTTCTTTAGCTATTTTATCAGCTCCTTCATTTCCGAAAACTCCACAGTGGGATGGTATTCATTGGGTATTCGTCATCAAATAGAAGCTTATGAAAGTAGATCTCTATATTATATACTAATTTTGAATGTTGTTGAATTAAGAATCGGCATCATAGCACTCAGGACACTCCCATAAGCTCTCTGTCCCCATCTTCAGTGTTGAACTCTCTGTCCCCATCTTCAGTGTTGAGCTCTCTGTCCCCATCTTCAGTGTTGAGCTCTCTGTCCCCATCTTCAGTGTTGAGCTCCCTGTCCCCATCTTCAATGTTGAGCTCTCTGTCCCAGTCTTCAGTGTTGAGCTCTCTGTCCCCGTCTTCAGTGTTGAGCTCTCTGTCCCAGCTCTCTGTCCCCATCTTCAGTGTTAAACTCTCTGTCCCCATCTTTAGTGTTTAGCTCTCTGTCCCCATCTTCAGTGTTGAACTCTCTGTCCCCATCTTCAGTGTTGAGCTCTCTGTCCCCATTTTCAATGTTGAGCTCTCTGTCCCCATCTTCAATGTTGAGCTCTCTGTCCCCATCTTCAATGTTGAGCTCTCTCCCCATCTTCAGTGTTAAACTCTCTGTCCCCATCTTCAGTGTTTAGCTCTCTGTCCCCATCTTCAGCGTTGAGCTCTCTGTCCCCATCTTCAGTGTTGAGCTCTCTGTCCCCATCTTCAATGTTGAGCTCTCTGTCCCCATCTTCAGTGTTGAGCTATCTGTCCCCGTCTTCAGTGTTGAGCGTTGGCCAGATCCCCTGGTAACTTCCTACCCCCCACCAGTTTCCTCATTGACCTATTTGTGCCTCCTCACTGTTCATTCGCTCAAAAAGGGCCCTGACAACATCTAGCTAATGTTAAATGTTGAATTAAGAATCGACATCTCAGAACTCTGGACATCCCATAAGCGCACCGTCGCCATCATCAGCAGCAAGTGAAGTAACTGTCTCATTGTATATCTGTTTCGCCTTTCCCCTGAGTGTCGACCGTCAGCGAGATTCCCTGTAAATCCTTGTAGTGCCATCTCCTCAGACCGTAATGATCTATCTGTTCCTTGGCACTGTTTACTCACTCTCAAAGGGCCCTCACAACATCCAGCTTGTCATACATCAGTTTACCACCAAGTGGTGCAGAACTGGCCAGTCTATCTGTCTGCTCATTTCCTAGCACACAGGTGTGACCTGAAGAAAATATCCAAAAGATGCTAACTACCCGGGACCTTTGAAGTGATGCTTGCCATTCTGCGCGGAGTATGCCTGTTTCTACCTTTCTCAACATCTCTATATATTCAACAATAAGAAGGAGATAAACACTGTTTTTTGGCCATAAAATGAGTAGAGAGAGAGGGGTATTGGAAAACATCGTGACAACTGGAAAGATCAGTGAAAAGCAAACATTTGCTGAGAAAACCCTTTGTTTGTTTAAGTATCCAGAAGCAATGAGTTGTTAACCCTTAGGCTCGGTATTATGGATATCGCAACCTTTCGGTGTTGATTCCATTGTAAATACCGTAAATCTGGGAGAAAATGAGTGAACCCGGACCACAAGGAGTTAGTTCATCACCCGGTCTCCGCGCAATCCGGTTTAACCAACTATGCTAGAGAGCTAGGCGAGAAAACCCTTTAAACAAGTTAAACTTGGCTAAAAACCCTGTAATAGACTGAAGTGGCTAGGGCTTATTGACAGAATAAATGATGGCTAGAGAGGTTAAAAAAAACTGTTCACAAGGTAGTTGAATGGTTGTAGATCATGAGATAGACAAAGAAGACATCAGAGAGACAATTTACAGGCAGACCTGCAAGCACTTGGAGTCACTAACTGGAAAGAGAGAACTAATGACAGAGATAAATGGAGGCCATTGATATCTGCAGCCGTGTACCAATCTCAGGGGCTCAGAATGCTGAAGTAGAAAAGGATAAGTTTTGTTGTCAGCCTGGTTTTCTAGTGTGTGTATTAACAAAAAATGTAGATCAACTCTGTATGATGTAGGGGTGCCAATGATTTTACTGACCATTTTCTGTTGGTTGGTAAGTAAAATCAAAGTTGAAACTTGAAAAATATTTGACATCTTATTATCGTAGAAACCAGTATAATATAGTTTATCTCAGGTATGAAGACGGTAAAGAAAATTTTCAGTCACAGTCTCTAAAAAGTGCTGGATGTTACAGCAGCTAGTTGAAGCTGTAAGCACTTGAGTCTGCTGGGATCAGATCAAGGGAATTTGGAATGAATCTTGTGTAGAATTCCTTGGTAAGAAGAAACGGAAACACAAGGTGTGGATAGTACCAGAAACCATTTAAAAGGAACAAAGAAAGGCTGAACAAAGTTTTTATGTATGTGTATATCTCCTTCTTTATTGCATTCTCTGGCTGTAAATGTCCTACTTGTTCGTCCATTCGAACTGTGTACTAGGACCTCAGTTTTTCCTGTGCATCTGTTTTACTGGTTGATTTGTATTCAGTTCTTGTTCTTTGCCTCTCGGGCACATGTATTCCAACTTTAAAGGATGTAGTGTATATAAAATGTTTATCTAATGAGTGAGAGCTGACATTGAGATTAAACTGATTTTCCTTGGATTGATGTGTTTGTGACTGCAGGTGGTGAACATGAGGCAGGTTGTGAAGAGAGCCAAGGTGCACGTGATTAGCAAATTGTGCAGACATATTCACAAACTCAAGATGAAACAGTGAGTCATAGTTGTCTGTTAGTTTGACTGTGGACATATTCACAAACTCAAGATGAAACAGTGAGTCATAGTTGTCTGATAGTTTGACTGTGGACATATTCACAAACTCAAGATGAAACAGTGAGTCATAGTTGTCTGATAGTTTGACTGTGGACATATTCACAAACTCAAGATAAAACACTGAGTCATAGTTGTCTGATAGTTTGACTGTGGACATATTCACAAACTCAAGATGAAACAGTGAGTCATAGTTGTCTGATAGTTTGACCGTGGTCATATTCACAAACTCAAGATGAAACAGTGAGTCATAGTTGTCTGATAGTTTGACTGTGGGCATATTCACAAACTCAAGATGAAACAGTGAGTCATAGTTGTCTGATAGTTTGACTGTGGACATATTCACAAACTCAAGATGAAACATTTACCTCTTTATGTGGGCACTAAGTGCTACTTGTTAAATTGACTAGTGCTACTTATTGAGATGATCTCTGTATATGTGCACGAATGCTACTTTTTGATGATCTCTGTATATGTGCACTAGTGCTACTTGTGATGACCTGTGTAGGTGTGCAGGGATTGCTACTTGTTGATTTGATCTACATTAAGATATTACAAAAAAAATATCAGGGATTCTTAGAGCTGATAGTCCCTAGAGATGCAGAGATTATCTCTGTGTGCACTGAGTGCTATTTCTTTAGATAATCTCTGTGTTTACTGAGTGCTGTTTCTTTACATAATCTCTGTTTGCACTGAGTGCTGTTTCTTTAGATAATCTGTGTGTGCACTGAGCACTGTTTCTTTAAATAATCTCTGTGTGCACTGAGTGCTGCTTCTTTCGATAATCTCTGTGTTCACTGAGTGCTGTTTCTTTAGTTAATCTCTGTGTGCACTGAGTGCTGTTTCTTTAGTTAATCTCTGTGTTCACTGAGTGCTGTTTCTTTAGTTAATCTCTGTGTTCACTGAGTACTGTTTCTTTAGTTAATCTCTGTGTTCACTGAGTGCTGCTTCTTTAGTTAATCTCTGTGTGCACTGAGTGCTGTTTCTTTAGTTAATCTCTGTGTTCACTGAGTGCTGTTTCTTTAGTTAATCTCTGTCTTCACTGAGTGCTGTTTCTTTAGTTAATCTCTGTGTTCACTGAGTGCTGTTTCTTTAGTTAATCTCTGTGTTCACTGAGTGCTGTTTCTTTCGATAATCTCTGTGTTCACTGAGTGCTGTTTCTTTAGTTAATCTCTGTGTGCACTGAGTGCTGTTTCTTTAAATAATCTCTGTGTTCACTGAGTGCTGTTTCTTTAGTTAATCTCTGTGTGCACTGAGTGCTGTTTCTTTAGTTAATCTCTGTGTTCACTGAATGCTGCTTCTTTAGTTAATCTCTGTGTTCACTGAGTGCTGTTTCTTTAGTTAATCTCTGTGTTCACTGAGTGCTGCTTCTTTAGATAATCTCTGTGTGCATTGAGTGCTGCTTCTTTAGATAATCTCTGTGTGCACTGAGTGCTGCTTCTTTAGAAAATCTCTGTGTTCACTGAGTGCTGTTTCTTTAGTTAATCTCTGTGTTCACTGAGTGCTGTTTCTTTAGTTAATCTCTGTGTTCACTGAGTGCTGTTTCTTTAGTTAATCTCTGTGTGCACTGAGTGCTGTTTCTTTAGATAATCTCTGTGTTCACTGAGTGCTGTTTCTTTAGTTAATCTCTGTGTTCACTGAGTGCTGTTTCTTTAGTTAATCTCTGTGTTCACTGAGTGCTGTTTCTTTAGTTAATCTCTGCGTGCACTGAGTGCTACTTCTTTAGATAATCTCTGTGTGCACTGAGTGCTGCTTCTTTAGATAATCTCTGTGTGCACTGAGTGCTGCTTCTTTAGATTATCTCTGTGTTCACTGAGTGCTGTTTCTTTAGTTAATCTCTGTGTTCACTGAGTGCTGTTTCTTTAGTAATCTCTGTGTTCACTGAGTGCTGTTTCTTTAGATAATCTCTGTTTGCACTGAGTGCTGCTTCTTTAGATAATCTCTGTGTGCACTGAGTGCTGCTTCTTTAGATAATCTCTGTGTGCACATTTGTATTGCCTTTTGTTTTGGTATACTTTATGTGTTTGATTGTCTGTTTGCTGAAAACATAATACAGTTTTAGAAGAAACAATAATGAAGTATTTACGCTTCGGATGGAAGAGACAGTAATGTGCTACCACTTGTTGAGATTATATCTTTATATGTGCACTAGTTCTGCTTGTTGATGTGATCTGTGTATATGTGCACTAGTTTTACTTGTTGATACAATCTGTGTATATGTGTGTCGTGAAAAATTTTAATGTAAACACAGATATTAGCACACTCAGGGTGAAAGGTATAAACAGATTCTATAGTATTAACACACTCAGGATGAAAGAATAAAATTTAAACAGTCTGTGTGTTGTTGACACTATAAGGGTGAAAGATTACAATCAAACAACCAAATAGTATTGAAACACTCAAGAGGAAAGATTAAAATGTAAACACAGACTATATAGTATTGACACACTCAAGAGGAAAGATTAAAGGTAAGCACAGACTATTATATAGTATGGACACACTCAGGGTGAAAGATTAAAGGTAAGCACAGACTATTATTTAGTATTGACACACTCAGGGTGAAAGAGTAAAGGTAAGCACAGACTGTTATATAGTATGGACACACTCAGGGTGAAAGATTAAAGGTAAGCACAGACTATTATATAGTATGGACACACTCAGGGTGAAAGATTAAAGGTAAGCACAGACTGTTATATAGTATGGACACACTCAGGGTGAAAGATTAAAGGTAAGCACAGACTATTATATAGTATGGACACACTCAGGGTGAAAGATTAAAGGTAAGCACAGACTATTATATAGTATGGACACACTCAGGGTGAAAGATTAAAGGTAAGCACAGACTATTATATAGTATGGACACACTCAGGGTGAAAGATTAAAGGTAAGCACAGACTATTATATAGTATGGACACACTCAGGGTGAAAGATTAAAGGTAAGCACAGACTGTTATATAGTATGGACACACTCAGGGTGAAAGATTAAAGGTATGCACAGACTATTATATAGTATGGACACACTCAGGGTGAAAGATTAAAGGTAAGCACAGACTGTTATATAGTATGGACACACTTGAGGTGAAAGTTGAAGAGGAAAGGTAGCAGTAACTGCATTCTAAATCTGTGATTTGTAAATATTATTTAACAGAGGAACAGAGGAACACAAAGCCAAAAACCTCCGCAAGGCTGAGAGACTGATAGAAGAAATTGATTCTATGAAGGTAAGATTCTATGCCAGTATGAATCAGATGTCAAGATTCTTCTTCCTTTGCTCTTTATGCCTCAGTGGAGCATAAGCACTCAGCTAACTTTCACTAAGTGGCCCTCTCCTTGACTATTATGTGCTTCACCAGATGTATTTCCTATCTTGTCAACTTCATTCTCTGACTACCTTCTCTTTATTTTCATTTTTTGATTCTGTAAGTATATTTTTTTTGTCTATGACTGCTTGTATCAGGTGTCTGTCAGCTGGGGTAGTTTGATGTTTTTAGTCTCTCTCAGCAACTGACTTATTTCTTTTTTGTGGGAACATAGCATTTCATGACTGCCTTTCTGCCATAATTTCTTTTTAACTGACGATGGATGGCTGTTCAGCAACTCACTTTGTGCACTGCCTCTGTGGTCTTGCTTGGACTGTCAGTCAAATCACTCTTGAATGCGACTAGAATTCTAGAGTAATTATCGCAGTCTCTTACTAGGCTTGCCAAGGGTTAATTTCTCATACTTCCTGAACTTTCTAGGTAACCGATGTGTCCGATGCATATCGAGTTCGCCATTCCCATTAGCATTAGATGTAGTTAATAATTCACATACATTATCATCTTACTTATGTGTGGTATGTAGGTGTGTGTGTGTGATTGTTGGTGTGTGTGTATGTATGTGGATATATGTATGTATTTTTAGGTTTGTAAGTATGTGTGTGTTTTTATTATGTATGTTGTAAGTATACGGGTGTATATATGTGGGTGTGTGTGTATTATGTGTGCAAGTATGTATGTATGCAGGCATATATATGCTAATGAATGTATGTATGTTGGTGTCTGTATGTGTGTATGTTATGTAACTGTATGTGTGTATGTTATGTAACTATGTATGCATGTTGGTGGATGTATGTATGCATATGTAGCTGTGTAAGTATGTGTGTGTATTTAAGTATGTATGCAATTATGTATGTGTGTAAGTATGTGAGTGTATGTATGCATGTATATGTGTGTGCATGTATGTCTATGTACGTAGGTGTGTGTGTTTTATGTTTGTGTGTGTGTGTGTTGATGTATGTATGGATGTATATTTCTATTATGTATACATGTAGATGTAGCCTATGTATGCATGTATACATGTGGATGTATGTATGTGTTGCGTATATGTGTGTAGGTGTATGTATGTCTATATGTATGCGAATGTATGTATGTAAATGTAGCTGTGTAAGTATGTGGGTGTATGTGTGTGTGTATTTATGTATGTATGTGGATGTATGTAGGTATATGTGGTGTGTGTGTCTATTTATAAATGTATGCATGTGTGTGGGTATGTATTATGGATGTGTATGTATTATCTGGGCATGTGTGTGATTATGGGTATGTGTGTATGTGGATATATGAAGGTATATTAAGGTTTGTAAGAATGTGCATATTTATGTGTGTATGTTGTAAGTATGTGTGATTGTATATGAGTGAATGTGTGATTGTGGGTGTGTGTGTATATAATGTATGCAAGTATGTATGTATGCAGGTATGCATATGTGTATGTATGTGGGTATCTGTATGGGTGATTGTATATGTGTGTATGCATGCATGTGTGTGGGCATGTATGTGGGTATATTTATGCATGTATGTGTGTGTGTATGCATGTTGGTGGATGTATGTATGCATATGTAGCTGTGTATGTGGGTGTGTGTATTTAGGCATGTATGCAAGTATGTATGTATGTGTTTAAAGATGTAGGTGTATGTATAGATGTGTATGTATGTGGATATCTGTATGGGTGATTGTATATGTATGTAATGTGTGTGGGCATGTGTGTGGGTGTATGTATGCATGTTTGTGGATATATATATGCAATTGTAGCAGTGTTAGTATGTGGGTGTTTGTGTGTGTATTTAGGTATGTATGCAAGTATGTATGTATGTGTGTAAAGATGTAGGTGTATGTATAGATGTGTGTATGTATATATGTATGCATGTGATCCATAACATGCATTATTGATAACAGGCATTGGTACTATGAAAAATGAGTGCTTAGAAGGGCCGAATGTCAGATGGGCCTGCGTGCCCTTCGAAAATAAAGTTTGTTCGTTTGTTTGTTCGTTCTTTATGCCTTGGTCTGTCTGCCTTCATGACGTGTAGTCTACTTTTTGTAAGGCAGGATCTGCTTTCTGCTGGTCACTGAAATTAGACAGGTTTTGTGCTTGTTTTTCTGGACTGGTTATCCCAGCCTGAATAATATTTTCTTCTTCATTGGATCTTCGCCCTTATGTAGACTGGCCTTTTTCGCTCTCGCGCACCTGCTATGCTCTTAAAGCAACAGCGTTGGTTGTTTTAACATGCTTCTTGTACCACTCTTCAATCTCCTTTGCAGTAGGCATGGAACCCTTTTCTTTATTTAGTGTTTCCAACTTTGTTGTCTCTTTGTCCCATTCTATCTCTGCTAACTCTTTCTGATGAGCTCCCTCTGCAGCTCTCAAATCTGTGGCAGCTTTCTCTGCTTCTCTCTCAGCTATCTCCTTCATTCTAGCTTCTGCAAAGCGTAGAACTTCTTCGGACTTGAGTCCCAACTCCTTAGCTATGCTGACAAACTCAGCAAAAAACATTTTCACTATTGATGATGATGATGATGAAATGAAGATGAATGAATAAAGGACGACATTTGGTGCTACGATAACAGCAATTACCTTTACGATAACAAGGCTAAAAAAAACAAGCTATATATGGCGATATATACTTGAGAAAAAACAGACCCAAAGGATAATTACAACCGATAACAAACTATAGATACAAGACTGTTAACACCACCTGATGCAGACAAACTAACTACTCTGGTCTATGAAGTGATTGTTCACATTAACAATACCTTCTAAGGCAGAAAAAACTAAAAGGTGGCCCCTAAATTATGCACCACAAAATGATACCTAAATAGAAGCCCTCCTCCCAACCGCCCACCTATCAAACATAAAATGCAAATAAAATCTCAGGCATACCAAACATATAATAACATGGCAAAGCAGTGTAAATAATGCAGTAAAACATTACACAATTTACAGTGACATACCGTTAATGTTGAGCGGTGAGATAGAAGATGATGGGATGATACACAGAACACACTGCCTCAGCCAATTACACAGCCCACATTGAAGCTCCTGTTCCTGGGACAGATTCTGGGCGACAGTTTCTTGATCCGGTGCTTGCAGCTGGTAAAATGGCGATTCTGCTTACACGATGACACAATGACAGTACACAGATTGTAACAAATGCTATCCTCTGGCGATGCTGCAAACTCTTGTGGAAGGCCCCTTGTTCTGTAATGGCTGGCTCCCAAACTGTTGTGTGCTAACTAGCAACCAGCACATGGCCTAGTGTGTAAAGGTACAGTTGACGCTTCTATACACAGCTGGCAGGAAAACTCAACGACCTAATGGCTGCTATACACGCACATTTATTGTTATGATCACAGAGGACATACACAACAGGGTAAACAAAGTAATGCAGACATCTATGCTGGATAACATGAAACACTAACTTTGCTCACTTCTTAGTTATAGCATCGCTCTCCAGAACAGCTTGACTAGCCGCCACTAACATGTGCCGACCGCTACAGTGTCCTGCAACTCCGGTCTCACTGTACACATGAACAGGATATCTCTCCTAATTAACTGGACCTCTGCTGCTCTATACGAAGCAGACACATCGGCTGACTGGAAACGCCACAGTACTTGTTCTCCAGCATGTGCACACCTCGTTAAAGGAACTCTGATGACCAGCAGGACTCCTGGCTCTGAGTCTCCTTCAGCACACAGCTATGGCCAGTATCTCCGCTGTCTTGTTTCACTAGTGATCATTCCACTTTCCTGCGTTGTCACCCAAAACAGCGTCTCTTAAGTCGTTCAGCTTACTTGGCCTGAGCATCCTCGACTCAACTGTTCGAGCTCTCAACTGCCACTGCTCAACAGTCTACTCAACCCCAGTATATGCCCCTTGTGAGGTGCCCGAGACGCACGCTGTCACGCATGCCACACTTCTTCCGGGCGCAAGCGGCTATCTCGCCCAAGTCATAATAGTTAGCCCACACTGGCTAATACTTTGTGAATTCCCCAGGTCCATCCTGTGCCAAGCCACATCCCACTTGCCACAATATTGATTCAACCAACAGGTATTTCCTGGTTTAAGTCAACACTGTGCCAAATATTGACACAGATAACCCGACATTCGCATGGACTCCCAAAAACACTATTCCTACCAAGTCCTGCTTCAGTGTTACAACTGACCCGAATCAGCATGCAACAACATGAGCTGACACAAGATAACTAATCATGTGAGCTTAAACAAAAGAACCATTGACATGACACAAGAGAACCATTGACATGACACAGGAAAACCATTGACATGACACAAGAGAACCATTGACATGACACAAGAGAACCATTGACATGACACAGGAAAACCATTGACATGACACAAGATAACTAATCATGTGCTTAAACAAGAGAACCATTGACATGACACAAGATAACTAATCATGTGAGCTTAAACAAGATAACCATTGACATGACACAAGATAACTAATCATGTGAGCTTAAACAAGAGAACCATTGACATGACACAAGATAACTAATCATGTGAGCTTAAACAAGAGAACCATTGACATGACACAAGATAACTAATCATAAAACAAGATAAACCACTGACAACGCACACAAGATCAACTAATCATGTGCTTAAACAAGAGAACCATTGACATGACACAAGATAAATATTTCAGAGAGAGAGTAAGCAGTCTTCTTGTAATTACTGGAATTTTCAAAGACGATGCTGCTCTGTTTGCATTTCTGAATTGCATTGCGATATTCATAAACAGAAAGGCGAAGAGATATTTGGACGAACCGGCTCGTCGAGGTAAGGAATCCATATAATTAACACTTCGGTGTTTGTTTTTTCTCGGAGAATATGTTGACGCCGGAAGTGAACTTTAGGAAAATGTTCGATCCATACGTGTTCCAGGAAGGGAAAGAAGGTCTGTCTGTGG